AGAATACCGTTTTGAATCGTGCTGTGTAATGTAGCACAATATCACCACTTCGAGAAGACCGATGTCTAGCGCGGGGGCGGGGGAAGGGCAGAAACATCGAGTGGAGGGGTGGGGCGAGGGCAGGGAAATATGATGAAGTGCCTCAAAATTTGATGCAAAAACGCATGATCGCACCGGCTCCCCTGGTGCGTTCCAGCCTGGGTTTGATTTCTCCTATACAAGTTCCACTTTTAGCAAAGCTTTTTTTCGCACAAACAAAGCTAATTCAGATAGCAATGCATACAAAAATAGCAACGGAGGCGGCACAAAACACCAGACCAAACCAATCACAATCGGATGCGACACAAAGTCTCAGCAACCAAAGATCGCCGATGTCGATCAGACCGCAACACGTGGTCGTGGTGCTCAGCACAGTGACAAAAAACCTTTTCAGTTGTTCATTATTCCCCTATATAAGACGAACATTGGTTACGCAACTTCGCCCATACAATCCACCGCGTAATTCTGTCCAAATACACAATATCAGCAGTGCAGCAATTTAATACACAATTGATCATTTAGCTCCAAGTTCGACGCTACACAAACTGGAAATTCCGTGGTATTTCACATTTCGTTGGTGGACGCAAAGCTGTAACAAGTAGTGGTACTTTCAAACTAAGCGTTAAAGGCTCGACTGTGTCATTGGGAAAGCTAATTCTTGTGCGACTGGTTCCTTTGTTTCAATGGCAAATTGATACTGACACTTGGTCAGAACATCACTATCAGTTTGACCCGAAGCAGTCTGCAAAATAGGGAGAAGGAGCATCGGACTGTCGCTGCCCTATTCGTCATGGATAGACCAGAATCTTGTCCATCGTCAGTGTTGTGCAATCCCAGAGAAAGCACTATGGTAGAAACTAAAATAAACCCAGTACTTTTTGATTTTTAAGTTAAATGATTTGATTTCAGTACATTTGTGAGAAGCACTTCCGTGGTGGCGGTGACGGACGGAGTATGTTCACGGGTCTCAATGCTGCCAATCACTTCGGTCGCCCAAACTTTGATGCATTTTTCAGATTTGTGCAAAGCAGACATAAAGATGTTAGTTTAGTAACTGCTACTTATTCTTTTTTATATCTAAACGTCTATAGCAAGCTGTAATTTCATTTACTACAACGCTTTCTAAAAGCTGGTAATGAAAGGAAGCATATCCTGGATAACGTTTCGATGACTTTTTTTGCCATACCAGTGGCTGCATATCAACGTTTACTGTCACTGATAAAGCTATTTCGGTGAGGTAGCTTAATTATGTGGATATGAAAATGAAAGATGCGAATTCCTTTCAGCAGAGTACATCACAAATTTTTGTTTTTATTTCGAAAAATATTCCTTTTCATTAAGTTTGTGTCTTCCAAATTTTATTCTGAAAAATTATGAATAACATAAATAACCTCCCATAGGATGCGGCGCATAATTAGCAAATGTTTGCTTTAGTAAAATAGCTTACTGCATAAAAGGTCATTGAAATGAAGTGTCATTTCATGGATTAATGCTTTTCCTAAACAAAAATTTTCTAGAAATGCTCCTGTTTGAAAAATCTTGGTTGCATTAGAGCTGTAGTAGCCAGCACTCACACTAGGAATCCTGAAATTTATGAAAACGGGGAGTTTTCGATTCCCTTCGGCTTCGTACATATCTAGTGCGAATGGAGCCTGTGCGCACTTGGGAAAGAGAAAATGACTTTTGCACTTGGTTTCGGGCAATTTTGCGCATATGATTTTCTTGGAGTCTCCAATTGTAATCGTTCTTGAAGCAGTAATTACTCACAGCTTATGGAGGCAAATTATCTGCAGATTCGTGAGATTGGCGTGTTCAGCTGCGGTCCGAATTCGATCAACAAGGAGGTTCGCAGATCCTGTACAGCAGCAAATCGAATCCGAAATGCACCATCATTTTACCATCGTTTTGAAACTTTTTAATGTTCATTGTTGTCACTAATTTTAAAAGCATCAGTATTTAAGTTGCTTTACAAGTATGTGTATATACACCAAGAATATCCAGACTGCCCGGGCAATCGATGTGAATATCCCATGTTAGTGATGTTACTGGAATGCTCCCATGTGCTGGGTACTGCTGCTGTGCTATGTGTTAATATGTATTTCAAAAGAACTGAACTTTCTTATCCGGGTAACTTTTGAGCCTCCCATCGATTTTTAGCTGATCAGTTTAAATGTGAACAAATAGCCGTAAGCCTAATTTTAAATTTTTTGAAACTGAATGTGGAAGTTTACAAAGAGGTGCCCAACAGCATCCATTCGGATATAAATGTATTTTATCGGCGCTACGAAATACTCAACAAAATTTTGCAAGGATTTTTGCCTGTTCACGTATCTTCCATTTTCCGTCAAGTCTTCTCGTGCCTCAGGACATTTGCACCCGAATTCTGACTCACCAGCAATTGTTCTGTTCATAAAAGT